TCAGAATGCTGAAAATAAGGTTTGTATTTTGCCTTTTTTAAAAAATGGTAAAATGGTATTATTGTCAACTGGAAAAGTGGAAGCTTCTTAGACTTAAAATTCATTGACGTCAGTTTAACCCTAATTAAATAGATCCTTTCTTCCATTGCTGCCCTATGTAGTGTTTTCCTTCCTTCGTAAGGTAAAATGGCAGTGTATCTTAGAGTTGAGGATGTTGCCTTGGAATAAAACGTTCTCTTTAAAAACAATATTATAATTCTCCAAGGTGACAGTTATTGTTAGCTTTTATTTAGATTTGTAAGAAATGATGCATTTTAAAAATTTTTGCACTTTTAAGAGCAGTCTAAGACTGTCATCCTTTAAGCTTGGTTTTAAATAAAAATATCAGCAGAGAGAACATGCTCCAAGAATATTTATAGTGGTTCCAAGTGCAGAGGTCTAAGTCAGCCATTATTAATAGCTACCAGCTGGTCTTACGTTTGCTATTCACCTATAGCAGTTTGCTAGACATCATGTAGGAGTTGAAACTAGAAGAGTAGTTGGGACAATCCAAGGGGTAGTTATGCAATGAGAAAGGAAGGAGGAAGCATGAACATTTGAAGGGCAAACTGAGGAGGAGATAACAAAGTAATGATTACAGAGGTAGGAGAGAAACCAGGAGACTATTGTAACAAGAAGCCAAGGAAGAATCTCAAAAATATTGTTGACTTTTTCAGGTACTATAAGATGAGAAGTGAAAAGAATCCATTGAATTTTGCAATTAGGAGGTTCATTGCCGACCTTTACCAGAGCAGTTTCTCTGAAGTATAGAAACGGGCTCCAGGTTGCAGAGGGTTAAAAATTAAACTGGAAGAGAATATATCAAAACAGTTAATGTGGATTGTTAATTCATCAGATATGAAGGAAAAGAGAGAGATGGCAGTTAGCAGAGAGAATGATATTCAGGAGGGACTGTTATCTTTACAAAGATAGTAGAGACCTTGGCTATATTTTATAAGCTGTGGGGAAGAAGCCAATAGATAAAGAATGATTTAAAATACAGAAGAAAGATAAGCAATGAAACATGGCCCTAGAAAAGGTTGATGGAGGTTGATCTGGGAGCACAGGATTCCACTGTTGAAGGAAAAAGGTATAAGAAGCCACAGAATATAGTTGTTTACAGGGCATATAGGCAGAAAGTTTGATATTTTCATGTTTGACCTTGTAGAATACAAGCTTAATGTATATGCTACTAGGAGATACATTATTAGTAATTATACCAGCTAGCATTTACTGACTGCTTGCTATATGCTGTGAATATTACCAAGAGTTTAAAAAACAATATCACATTTAATTTACAACTCTGAGTGGGAATATTTTCACTACTTCTCAATTGAGGAAACTGAAGCCTAATGAGTTTAACCTGTGTAAGGGCATAAAGACATTATATATCAGAACTAGTCATTTGAACCTAGATGGTTCTAACTCCAGGCACCTGTGCTTTTAGCCACAGTTGTGGTAAGTTAGGGTGTTGTGTACATTTGACAGAATGGACCAGGTTATCGTGGATGTGTAAAAGGATTGCTGGTTGGCACTGGGTGCAGTGAAAGGCGGAGACCTGAAGTCTGCGGTAGCTCCACCGTGCACAACTGAGTTGATTGCCTCCATAGCAGTTATTAGCCCAAGTGAATGATCACGTAAGGGAGCATCAGAGTGAGATTTTTTTTTTAGTTTCAGATTGGATGGATGAGAAAATTAAGGCATAACCTAACAAAAATTCCTGAATTCTGAGATTAAAGGGAAACACCTATGAGATTCCTAAGAGAAGAGATAAGAAAAGGAAAAAAGCATGAGACTGGCATTGGACTTCTATTAAACCAGAAGCTGAAAGGTGGTAGAATAGCACCTATAGACTGTAAGTGAAATTAGTGAAAAAGATTGCAACCATCATTCTATACCCAGTTCTATACCTGTCAGAGAAAATGAATGATATTTGAGAATAAAAATTACGTAACATATCACCTACGTGAAGAAAATACTTGAGAGAAGAGAAAATAACAAAAGATGAGGATAGAGAAGTCAAGATGGAAAAAATGAAGCAGGTTAGCAATGAAACGCGGACACAATCTATGAGAATAAGAGGAGGCTCAGAGAACATATAATCCAAGTGTAAAAAAAGATTTCTTGAAACAGCAAATGCATAATACAAGATAATTTTAGTAAGACTGCAGAACAAAACATACTAAACTATTTTAGCAAAACTTAGTATTAATGGGAGGAGGAGGGAGGGAAGTGAAAATATGTTGAAAGTCTTGTTGATGTGGGTGAGGAGTAGAGAAGTAGAGTGTTTTCATGGGAGAAAGAGATTTTTTTAAGTTTCCATCTTAAATGACTAAGCGCTAAACAGGATGAAGAAGAACATTATAAAGTAATAAATGGCACATAGTTATAAGGAAGATAATAGTTATAAATCTAAATGCACCAAAGAACATAGCAACTAAAATGTAAAACAAAAACTGTTAGAAATTTGAGGAGAACTTGAAAAACAATATAGTGCAAAAAGTCAATATACTTATCTGAAGGGGATAAACTGGTGGAAAAAAATAGTGTAAGCACACGGAGGAATTTAATCAGTAAACTTGAATATAAATAAACTCTCATCCCTCAAAGAATAAACTTTTTTTGTACGTCCATGGAACATTCACAAAAATCAAATGTAGTTTGCCACAAGAAAAACTGTAACAAATTTTGAGGAAAAACCAATTTTACAGACCACATTCTCTGGTTATAAGCCAATAAAATTATAAATATATCATGATAACTAAAATTTTAGATACCTTAAATTGAGAAACACATTCCGTAATACTACTAAGGTTAAAGAAGAGATCAAAAATTAAAGCTACAAACCATCTAGAAAGCAATGAAAAAATACTCCCAAATAATGTTACACAGTGTAACCCATACTCAGAAGAAAAATTTTAACCTTAAGTTCTTTCTTAATTAAAAAAGAGACATGAAAAACAAAAGAACTAAATAATCATGTTAAGAAATTCAGACAAAAAATAACCAAAAGAAACTAGGGAAGAAGAATTCAGATGAAAGCTCAAATCATGGACCTAGAACATCAAAAAGGTGCATACAAACTTCTACGCTGATGTTTGTGCGAACTCAAATTTCAGGTGTGTCAGGAATCCGTATGTATGGAAATGGAGGTAGCATATAAATTCCCTGAAGGAATTTTGGCCCTGGTCATTTCTCCCCACTCCATTATTTATCTACCTTACATTCCCGTCTGGAAACTAAGTGGTTACATTGCGTGGAGGGCCAGCTATGGAGGGTTCTATTAATATTGCATTAATAGCATAATCATAAGGCCAAAGGGGATTTTGTAGTCATGCTACCTCTAGTTGAAACTTTTACTCTAATAAAAATGTTCCTGGAGGAGATATGTGAATCTTTGGAATGCTAAATCACTGAGAAAAAATCTTACTTAAAAAGTACTAGAAAGACCTTAAAACAATTAGATTATAGTTTTATGAAGTAATGGGGATTATAGAAGAACAGATACATGTAAATCTATTTAGTTTTTTTATTCTTTATTTATCATACCTTGAGAAGACTGTCATTGTCAAAAGCAGTTCTTAACCTCTGAGGCTTGATGAAGTAAGACATGTCATTGCAATCCCAAAGTAGAAATTTTGCCATTTAATGTTATAAATTTGGGAAATCTTTCTCTTGCTACTGGTATTTACTTCATACTTTAGAGGGAAAGCCTTTGCCTCTCAGCAACTGTCACTTTAACGTTGTTTTTGACTCAGTTTGAATTGATGGTAGCAGTGCCTCGGAATTGCTTGATTCGTAGGACAGGAGAAGGGAGAGGAGGTTTGGGACATTGTAATTGTTCTTCTGAAAATTTGTAAAACCAGTCTGTGATAAGAGAGCAGACAGCATCTCCCTTTAGGCTTTTACTACTAATTGGAAGGTGGGAGGTGTGTGTGTGTGCGCGCGTGCGTGCGTGCGTGCATGCATGTGTGTGTTTGTGTTTACAGAAGAAATACAAGTTTATTTAGCATCATACCTTGTTTTTGATAAAATACGGTTAGGGTAAAGAGGGACATTAAACTCTAGAAAACATCTGCTGTAATAGTTTGTAGCTTATGCAGTATATAGGTAGTATATTTACATTGGATTTAGGGCTATTTTTTTACTTTAACCCAAGAACAACTAGAAATAATGGAATCAAATTTGTTTTAAATTCTAATTATTATTCTTCTAGTTGTGAGGTTTTTTTTTAGTTGTGTTTGGAGGGATGCCATACAGAAGAACCTTTATAAACTCTGTGAATTATGTAGTTGATGTCCAAAGATAAAATTGCATACCTACATGATATCTTTGTATGTAATTTTACCCATTTTTCAAGTTTATGGTAATAGAGCTAAGCTTTCTTCTGATTCAGTAATCTTAATAATTTTCTTTTCTTTCAACAGAAGAGCTGGAGTAATCATTTTCTTTTACTGTTCATTTTCTTTGGATAATATTTGCCTAAAAAGAAAGTAGCGGGAACATGTAGTATGTTTAGAACAAAGAACACAATGGCATTGTTTTCACCACCGGTATAATTCCTTTGATGCGTATCTGCAAGCTTTTGTTTTTAGCCATTTCATCCTGAAACCAAATCATGCTAACTGTTGGACCAAGCCTCGTTTCAAATCACTAAAATGCATGTGATAGATATTTCTGTCTCTGGCCTTCCTTAGCTATTTACCTTAATTATTACATATCAGCTTTTTAAAAATGCCTCTTAGGTATGTGTATTTTCTCATTCTCAGCAAATTGTCAAACAACATGATGTTCTGTGACATTTATGAGATTGCAAAGAGTTGTTTTCGCTCACCATTTCATTTTTTTCATGCACTTTTATGGATTTTCTAAAAAAAAAAAAAATTTATTTTTGGGTTTTAAAAAGAGAAGTTGAAATCTGATCATGACTTCGTCTTTGTTTTGTTTGTATCCATTTACAGGATGAATATAAGCCGGAAAAGGCCTTGTCTGAGGAGGACTTGAAAAATGCCGTGAGCGTGCACCACGCGCTGGCGTCCAAGGCCACGGACTACGAGAAGAAGCCAAACGTGTTTAAACTTAAAACTGCTGACTGGAGGGTCTTGCTCTTTCAAACCCAGTATGTTTTGTTGGTTTGGTTTTTATTTTGTTTTGTTTTTTGCTTCGCTTACCACCGCTTTATACCAAGGGATAGAAACAGGCTCTGCAGGGGACATTTTTTGAGTTGGAGTCAAAGTCAAGAACTGGTTACATTAGAGAGACAACTGCCAAGGAGACTAAAATAAAAAATAGAAACCCTGGGTCCAGATTTTTCCATCTGCTACAGAGTAGCCCTGTGACTTATAATCAGCCACTTACCATCTCTAGATCTCAGTAATCCTCATCAATAAAAAATGAGCGTTTTAGTAGACAAGTTCTTTCACAACAAAAGTAAGATAGACCCGGATTCAAATCACCATTTCCCTAGCTCTTTCTCCAAGCACGTAATTTAACCTCTTTGAGCATCAACTTGTCACTAGTATGGGTGATAGTATTTATCGCATGGGCTTCTGGTGAGGATTAAATGAGATAAGTGTATACAGTACTTCACGCAGCACCTTGCACGTAGAAGCTGTTCAGTAAATGTAAATTTCCATTTTATTCTCTTATTTATCTTTCCTTCTGAGCTCTCGTAGTCTGTGATTATACTATAAGGAAAACAAAATCCTGCTGTGAGCAAGGAAATGGGATAGATTGCCAGTCTAATGAGGAGTCCAGTGACAAACGTCAAATTAGAATTGGAACATGCCACATGGAGAATTCTGGATTTGTGAAGTGAAAAACTGGATTTTGAGAACTGAGCCTCTAGAACAGGAATTTTAATAGGGGTCACACGTAGCGTCAGTGTCGGTGGCAGGCAGTGTTGATTGTTAAGCATTCATTGCTTGAACTTGACTTCAGAATCACACCCACCATAACACTGTCAGCTGACCCCAATTGACACTGGAATTAAAACTTGACATCAAGGTAGTGAACACAAGTATCTGTGTGCTTTGTTGATCAGAGCAATGTAATATCAAGAAAAGAGAAATGAAAACAAAGCAGGTACTCTGGTAATTTGTGGATGTCAAACTTCTGAAGGTATAAAATTGCTGACATCAGGTGAGGAGGAAGTTGTAAGGAAGCCAGTTACACAGGGTTTTTAGGGTGTTGGAATAGGACAGTTAACGCCAAAGAGGAACCCATAGCCAGAGGTGTGATTACAGTTATTAGGCATTAGGTAAGGAATCTTTCAAATTATGGTATGCCCTAATATTTTTTTTAACTTCACAAGGAATTGACGTAGATTATCAGTCAACTGAAATAATGGAGCAACAGATCAGCCTAGAGAGGCATCTGGGCTGCGGTGAGGAGTTCATGATACCTAGTGTGGTTTCAGGTTATTGTTATTTCTCTCAGAGTAATCAGCGAAAGAAATGATTGTAGATTTGGCTGACGTTTATTTGACTTTTTGTTGATTAATTATGCACATGGTAGATAACCTATCCTGGTTCACGATCATTTCTACCATTCATTTATGAATTTGGGCTTTCTGGCTATAACGACACAGAAATTAGAAATATCATGACATCAGATGATTTCTACCTCCTGTCAGGTGGATGTTTTTTTTTTTTTTTTTTGGCAGTCTTAGTATATTTTACGTATCATAAAATTTTATTGGTTTGAAATGTACGTTTCAATGGGTTTTTTTTGTTTTGTTTTAGCAAATTGACAGAACGGTGCAGCCATCACCACACCCCAGTTTTGGAATATTCCCCTCACTGCAGAGAGAGCCCCATGCCCACTCTGCAGTCGCTGCCAGCCTCGGCCCCAGCCACGCACTAATCTACCCTCTGTCTCAATAGAATTGCTTCTCTGGACATTTCATAAAAACAGAATCATACATTATGTGGTCTTTTTTGTCTGGCTTATTTTACTTGGCATAAGGCTTTGGGGGATCACCCACATTGTAGCACATACCAGTACTTCTCACCTTTATTGTTGATACTATTCGGTTGTATGGATTTACCACGTTTTGTTCATCCATTTACTAGTTGATGAACATTCAAGTCGTTTCGCCTTTTTGACTGTTAGGAATAATGGTGCTATGAACATTGCCATATAAATTTTTGTATAGTTCTATGTTTTTATTTCTCTTAGGTACTTACTTAGGAGTAGAATTGCTGGGTTGTATAATGACTTTATAGTTCACTTTTGAAGAAACTGTCAAACTGTTTTCCAAAGTGAATATATCCTTTTACATTCCCTCTATCAATATATGCTTCAGTTGGATTTTAAAATCAAATGGTATGATTAAAAGACATGGGTTAATTTTATAATTAATTTTTGGCCTAGCCTAGTATCAAACAGAAAGCAGGGGTTTAATAAATATTTATTGTCAAGTGATTTCTCTTTTTTTCCTTCTGTATCCAAGAGGGATAATCATAATCTTACACTACAATGATAATAGGTTCCACGGCCTTTTACTACTACTATACGTTCCGAATGTTAATCTCCAATGAAGTTTTGCCAAGGATTAATTATACCAAGAAGAATACATGATTTTTATGTGCTATTTTAAATCAGTAATGAGAAATGGGTGAAGTATGATATACTTAGATCTAGAAGTATCCTAATATAAATACGTCTGTTTCTCACAGGAGTGCAGAGGAAATGCAGGGGTGGATAAACAGGATCAACTGTGTTGCAGCTGTATTTTCTGCACCACCATTTCCAGCAGCCATTGGCTCTCAGAAGAAGTTTAGCCGCCCGCTTCTGCCTGCTACTACGACAAAACTGTCTCAGGTAAGGCATTCTGATAGTGCTTTGACCCTGGCAGAAAAGTGCTTTGTAAAATAATCTTACCGGTATTTGTATCTGAATCGTATTCCGTATTTGGGGGCAGATGCGAGACCTTGCCCTGGAAAGGATGTGGTATAAATGGGGCAGGAGTGCAGTGGGCTGGATTTTGTACTTCATATAGGAAGCTAACACAATCGAGTCATGGTTAGTATGACATAGTCTTTGATTTTGTTTCTGAAATTTAGTAGTTTACTATTTAATTAGTCATACTTACCTGGTTCATTTTTTTTTTTTTTTTAAACTAACAGCTCATAACTTTTAAATGACTGGCTAATGTTGGGGAGATGCCCTGGCCTGGTAGCAAGCTTTTCATTCATTCATTCATCCGTCGCTTTATTTTACTGAGCATTTGCCATATCCCAGCCTGGATTTGGTGCGAGGAATATAAAAATATTTTCAGGGATCCAATGTCCACGGTACAGTGGGGAAGGGCCTTCCCTAGCCCTCAGGGCAGAGCTGAATGGGACATTTGGGTTTTCTAAGCCAATCCAGATACAGTGCACCAGAACTCTATTTCAGATGTGTTTACATAAACTTCCTTCTGTTGGCAGATTAATCTTGCTAAAAACCGTATTTTATCATGTCCCTCTCCGCTTAAAAGTGTCCTAAGGACACTGCCTACAAGCCACATTTGCTGATTTTGAACCTGTCTGCAGCACCCCATTGCCATTGGCCAGCTAAGCTTTTGGAAGCTGCTTTGATGTCTTGGTGAATTTCTTATTGCTGCAACAATAGAAGTAGTTTTATCTGACTGTGATCAACCAGGTGTTGGTATTAACTAGCTCCTCTATGCATCTCTGATATCATGATTCTCAGTGATACATTTATTAAATGTGTCCTGTGCTTGTCGCACATCAGAAACTATTCTAGGCCCTGGGGCTAGGAAGGCAAATGAAACCCAGACGGTCTCCTGAAGAGTAGCAAATGTAAATAAGCATGTAAATAAGCAAATGTAAATAAGCTCTTACACAGTTGGATTGAGGCACAGGAATGATGAGCCCGGAGTGCTGCCTGGCCTTGGAGGTGAAGGAGGGGATGTGATATCTAGTATGAAGCTTAAAGGTTGAGAAGCAGTTAGGTGAGGTGTGGGATGAGATGATAGAATGATCCAGGCCTAGAGGAGCAAGGACCGGGATACAGGAACCACACTAAATGTGACCTGAGCACAATGCTGAGAAAAAGCAAGAAATGCACCCCTGTGGAGGTAAACAAAGGCCAAATTACCAAAGTCCTTCTTTGGCATGTGCAGGATTTTGGATGCTTTGGTGGTTCCCAGCATCCTTAGGACAATGGTTTTAAGCAGGAGAGGAATGTGATCAAATTGGTGCTTTAAAAATTATTCTCATTACAGTATGAGGAAAAGCAGTAGAAGAAGATACTACTAAAAGCAGAAAGGCCTATTTTAAAAGAACTTGCAGTAATCCAGAGGAGAATTAGCTAAGTTAGTTGCAGAAGAAATGGATAGAAGTGAAAGTATCTGAGTGACTTTGAGGGTGGAGAGCGGACAGTCCTAGTGGTTCGCTGAAGTGGATGGGAAAGGGCTGTCACCTCGGCTGGGACAGCCGGGGACTGTGGTGTCCATCCTGGCTTGTGGAGCCTCACCTCACCGTCTCCTGGTTTCCCCGTTTCTGCTTTTCCTAGCCCTTTCCTGGAGCCTTTTGTTCTTTCTCTAAATGTTGCCGCGCCCAGGGCTCACAAGCAGATGAAGACATTTGAGAAACAAAAAATGTTTTTAAGGTATTTAGGTAAAAAAAAAAAAAAAAAATCAATGAAAAATAAAACACCAAGAAGGGAGAATGTTGTGCCAAGAGAAGGGGAAAGGTCAGGTAAAATTAAGACAAATAACTGTCCTATTAAGTGGCTGGGAGGTCACTGGGTAATGTTGCAGTAATTTTGGTGGCGTGAAACTGGTATCTTTGACAGCACGATTATCAGCTAGGAAGGAGGGAGGGGAACAGAAACTACACTGGTCTTCTTTGATGAGGGGATATAAGGTGGTAGGGAAGACTTGTGCAAAAGTCTTGCCATAAGTTATTTTAAAAAACAGGAAGACTAGCAGGAAGAAGAGAGGAGATGTGGTTTCAGGAAAGATTCTTTTGTTTCATTTTGTTTTTTAATTCATGATTAACGTATATTGGATGATTACTCTGTAAGCATTACTATTACTGTGTAGTTAATATATTATCAAACACGATGTTAA